GGATGACTACTCTTGTTTTCCATTTACAATAGAACCAAGTACCATGTTCCCCCAAAATACAACCTACTCCAAAAGTAAGTCCTAGCTTGATTTGTACACGTGTACCCAATATAAGCCCTACCCCCAAAATAAGACCTAATCAAGACCCCGCCCACTCCAGGGTGCACAGGTAAAAATTAAGCTAGAGTGGAAATGGGGGTGGTGGTGGAGCTGCCTACTACTTACCTTCGGGCAGTTGCAGCCAGGCCTTCCACACCCTGATACCTGCCCCACCGGCCCATTTCTTCTGCAGCTGGCAAGGCCGGCAAGGCTTTCCTGAAAGCCTCTGCAGCCGATAACAGAGCTCTGCTTGATCCGGAGCTCTGTTATCAGCTACAGAGGCCTTCAGGAAAGCCTTGCCAGCCGCAGAAGTTCCTGAAGGCCTCTGACAGCGAAAAGGAGATCGGGGCCGACGTGCTCAAGTCAGGTGAGCCAGTGGATTACATCCCCAGAAAATAAGACCTGGTGCCATTTTTGGTGGCAAAAAAAAATTAAGACAGGGTCTTATTTTCAGAGAAACGGGTATTAAATATTAAATCTGATATTAATTGCTGGATTTCATTATTTCTAGGAATGAAGGTGATTAGTTTGCTTCACCCTCCTAGCAAACTACAAAAGAAATATAAAAAGAACTATATAAATTTATACAGTTTATATAAATTATAGTTAAATTTATTTATATAAATAAATCTGACTAGGTGGCTCAGTGGCTAAGACACTGAGCTTGTTGAGCAGAAAGGTGGGCAGTTCGGCGGTTTGAATCCCTAGTACAGGTCTCCTGCGGGAGCAGGGGGTTGGACTAGATGACCTCCAAGGTCCCTTCCAACTCTGTTACTAAACTATATACATCTAAAAAGAACTTTATAAGAAAATTCGTGGTGCAATCTACAGATCATAGAGTTCAATTTTTCGTATCTACAAATCTGTCTTGACTGGACAGCATCCTATAGTTGTTTAAAGACAGTTACATCATTGGTAGCTAACTATAGCATACACCTCTGGTCTACTGTGGCACCCAGTAAAATATTGGGTGCTGTATTGTCCCATTCACTATTCTTCATATTTGGCACTCCCCTAACCATGCTACTGATTGAGATGAGCAATTGCACACTATTCCAGTACTCTGCTTAGGATAGTAACCTGGAACAAATATATTTTGAACACCAGGCACAACTTATCCTTTTTTCTTTCTTTCTTGGATTTTGAATAACTCCAAAGGTTATACTGGTTCTATGTGAGTTTTGGGAACTTCTTGTTCTATGGATGGTGTTTTAACTTTAAAATCTATTCCCTTTTTAATATCTTATAGTTTGATATGAGATGGGATATTATCAACAGGAAAGAAAATTCTGAGCAAATGTGGAGCCCTTGGTGCTCTCTGAGTTTGGTAGTTGGATAATGAAACATCTGCCAGCAAACAACCACATTCAGACAGCACCAAGGATTCCATAGTTCAACTAGATAGAGAGCTAGATATATGCTCTTATATTGGAATACTGAGCAAATGTAATTTGAACTTTGATACCTTGATTACATTTATCAAGGTCAATGTGTGCATATTTCAGTGTCTGATACCCGGTGATATATATCTTGGATTCAGAATATCTTAGGAAATGGGCACTTGAACAAAAAGAGTTTTATTTTCATTTCTAGACCTTACTGGAGGCTTTGTTCCATGTACTCTGTGCAGTTCTCAAACATCTGCTAGATTACAGTGTTATTGCCTATTTTCAAAAATAATAATAATAATTTGCTGTTTGTAAATTTGGTCTAGTCTGTTGCAAACAACCTGGGAAAAATAGCCTTCCAGATGGTTTGAACTCAAATCCCTTAGTTGATCAGAAGTAAAATGCTGCTCTGCTCTGTTAATATGAAGATTTTTACCTATAGTGAGATAATTAAAGTAATATTTAAATGTCTTTTCTTCATTTTCTATAACTTGTTATGGCTTTTTTAATCAGAAAGGGATTTTATAAATATTCTATTAATATAGAATGCATGTGCTACTCTTTTAAAGGTCAATGCTTTTATATTCTATATAGTAAAATTATCTGATTAATTACCATTGCTGAAAATTTTCCTAAGAAAAAATTGTCCTTTTGCATTTTTAAGACAAAAGTTTTTGATCCTGCTTTACATGCATCCTGTCAGTAGATGGAGACAGAGCCATGTTAGTCATCTGTCCTTCAGAGATAAATCCTGATATAATTGTTTATAGGAAGACTTTTCAGTTGAAAGTTACAAAAAGTAAATATAATTGTGTATAATGTTGTAAACTCATTTTATCACATGTATAGTTCATTAAAAAGCTTAAATTGTTAATTTTAAAATAAATGTTTGCTATTTTTAAAAGGTTAATCTCTAACAAACTATCTCTTATTTCCACGTTTGTGAAATTTTTTTCAGTAAAACATCTGCTTTTTAAGAGGTTTTTAAATAGCATCTTAAGATTTTTCCTGTCATTATGATTTTAACTAAGTTCTGATTATAGTTATGTGTAAGCTGTTATCTGATTTTTATTGTTACATGTTGTCGTGTTTATTCATTAAATTTATATCTCTCATTCAAGAGTTCAAGGCAGCATACATAATAATCCATTCTCCCTCTATTTCTACATAGTGATAATAGCAATAATGTCAACTTCATGATCATGTTTTATTTTAGAGATGTCTTATAGTATCTTGAAAGTTTCATTCTAAATAGTGGCATATATGTCTTATTAAATAAAGTAGGGCTTTGACGCAGGGGTGAAATGCTCCTGGTTCGGACTGAATCGTCCGATCCGGTAGCGATGAAGGTGGGTGGTTTAGAGAACCGGTAGCAAAAATCTCCCCCCCACCCATTGCCCGGCTGAGCCACGCAATCATCAGAGGCTTTTTTTAAATTATTTTTCAAAGCATTTTTTCTACAACCTCATTGGCCAAAAAAATGCTTTTAAAAGTAAAAAAAAGGCCTCTGATGATCCCGTGGCTCAGCTGGGATCATCAGAGGCTTTTAAAAGCATTTTTTCTACAACCTCTTCGGCCGAAGAAGTTATAGAAAAAATGTTTTTAAAAGGAAAAAAAGCCTCTGCCGATCAGGCAAGTCAGCTGGGATCATCAGAGGCTTTTAAAAGCATTTTTTTTACAACCTCTTCGGCCGAAGAAGTAGAAAAATGGTTTTAAAAGAAAAAAAAAAGTTGGCCACGCCCACTCAGTCATATTACCACACCACCCCCAAGCTACGCCCACAGAACCGGTAGTAACAAATTTTACATTTCACCACTGCTTTGACATTAACTAGCTACTTATTAACAGAAGCAAACTGAACATATGATTTTATCAAAAATTGATCCTCAAAATCTGGCTTTCCTTGTATTTATAGTATCTTTTTTGCACCTCATCCTATGTTTCGATTTGATTCTTCTTCCCACCCCCCCCACCCCCATGATTGATGAGAGCATTCTCATTTACTTGGAGATATCTCTAATAAAATTATACAGAGCTTGTTTGGTTGGTTTTGTGCCTCAACTTCTGATAACTGTCCCGAACAAGTTCCCAAAGTTTTCTTGGCATTATTTTTGGAAGTAGCTTGCCATTTCCTTCTTCCAAGGGCTGAGAGACAGTGACTGGCTCAAGATTATATTGCTGTTTAGAAGGAATAGAACTCCAAGCATCCTGGTTTCTAACCTTGGTGCCTTTAACCACCGCACTTGATCTTAGCAATAATTATTTCTTAAAATAACCAACAACTAACTAAATTTGCAATGAAATTTTCTATGTAAAATGAATACTGATTTGAAAATTAGTTCAGAGACAAGATTTTCAGAGCTAGTCCATCCACAAAGCTAATTTTAAGGGGTTAGAGAGAATGGACACCTGGGACATAACATCCAATTGGCAGCCTTTTGTAATATATAATTTGCCTAAAATTGTGCACTAAGCACAAGCTTTTGTTTTCTAATTGATTTACGGTTTGGGCCACTTTTACTTCATCCCCTACTGTCCTGCACACAGTGCCAGCAAGTACATTACTGTGAGAGATGATAAATTACCATGCACTTGTGATGCTAATGCATCAAGACTATAAAAAACACGCTGTGTTGAGCTTCTTACTTTAACAATGTTGCAAAGATAGGTCCATGCAAGTCTCATTTCCATTGGTAGAAATAACTATTCATTTGATAATTTCTGAAGCCTGCTTATTCAGTTGTAATTGAAATATTAAAATGATCTTTTTAACAGATCTTAATAACTCAAGAGGGGGAACATTTTTAAGTATTTGGTAAAATTCTATCATTTTTAATGTTATATATTTAAACATATAAGATATGAAGAACTTTTAAGTCAGTTGGGTAAAATCCTTATTTTCTCATCATAATTAAGATTATTTTCTGGTCCTATTGATCTGGTATATAGTATGACCAATACCTTAAAGGAAAAAAATGTAATTGTCTCATTAGTTTCATTTGATAATAGCTGTAGCACTGTCCTTCACCTACCCATGTAGGTGTTTTTCATGTCTTTAGTCTCTAAAATATATCTATCCTCTGAATTATTATTTTTTTACAAAAAATAGGATACAGAACAAGTAAAAGTAGTTTAAAATACATTTACTCTCACACAGTGTGACCAAGTTAAAAATTAAAACCCTGAGAGCAGAAAACTTTTCACCAGTGGCTTGGAGATAGGAGTCTACCTTAAATTCTTGTGTGCCATTGTCTGTGAGTTTGAGTCTTTGAAATATGAAGAAACAGATTTATGGCGGCTGCTGGGCACAACAAATTAAGTTGACAGTGATGTATGAGAGCATAATAGCATGATGATCCCTCTGTAGCGCGGCTGGACGCCTCCTGCTTCATTTGGCTCTTGTTAGGATCTGTTAGGCAGCTAAATAATGAAATTCTGCTGACTGATTTTTGTGGGGGTTTTGTTTTGCCTTTTTCCCCTGTTCACCTCTCCTCTGAATTCTTTATTTCTCAGACCCATCCTAATGCCAGCAAACTGCCATTAAAGGATTCTTTCACTTACGATGATTACAGGTTTGTTTCCCTTTTTATTTAAAAACTAAGTTGTTAAGTTTTCAGATTTCTTCCCTACCCCCAATAATCAAGTTATTAATCATGAATCCCTGGTCCCATCATAATACTTAGCATTAAAAATCACAGAGTATAATTATTGCAGCCATCTGTATTTAATCTTCAAAGTTTGTTAGCTAACCAATTAGTATTAATTTATGGTTTCTTCTAAAATACATTGTTACGTTCCTTTCTAAAATTTCTCTTAAATCATTTTTGTTTCTGTTGCTGTTTAATGTTCTGAAAAATAGTTAAAATAAGTGAGACTTCTTTGAAAGATACTGTGACATAATTGATAACACTATAAAGTTAAGTAAAGAAGTCTTTCTGCGCCTCTCATATCCTAAAAATAATTCCTAATTTTCTAGTTCCTTCTTAGTAATTTTATAACACACTGAAGTATCTGTTTTATGTACTGTTGTTTGTTTTTAACTGCTGCCTGTTTTTCTAGATTTTCAAAAGATAGGATTCTGCAGTTGTTTGACTTTAATAAACCCATAATGGCATTTAATATATAAAATATGTCAATTGTTTAAAATATATTAAAACAAAAAGTTACCGCCACTAACTTCTTTTTGGCTTCTTAGGTGGGCAGTTTCCTCAGTCATGGCTCGACAAAACCAGATTCCTGCTGAGGATGGCTCTAGGGTTACATTAGCTCTGATACCTTTATGGGACATGTGTAATCACACCAATGGACTGGTAAGGACTGTTTCATATGAGAGAGAATAAATGCAATTTCTTTATTCAGCATCTTTTTTTTGGGATAGGTATTTTGTTTCATACCAATCAAATTAAACACAAACATATTTGTGTTTAATTGGGTGCGATTCAAGGTGTTGGTTACCACCTTTAAAGTGCTCCATGTCTTAGGACCTGAGTATGTACGAGATCGCCTTCTGCCACCGATAGCCTGCCACCAGCCAATACGCTCCCACAGAGAGGGACTCCTCAGGGTGCCGTCGGCCAAACAGTGTCGACTGGCGACACCCAGGGGGAGAGCCTTCTCTGTGGGGGCACCTGCCCTCTGGAATAAACTGCCCCTGGAGATCCGTATGATTCCTGACTTACGTACCTTTCGCCGTGCCCTTAAGACTCTTTTGTTCCAACAGGCCGGGCTGGCTTAGAAAATGAATTTTAATTGGGTGTCTGTAGTTTTTAATACAAGGACCAAATTTTTATATATTTTAAATTGTTTTTAAATTTTATGTGTATATGTTTGTTTTAATATGACTGTACACCGCCCTGAGTCCTTCGGGAGAAGGGCAGTATAAAAATTTAATAATAATAATAATAATAATAATAATAATAATAAATAATAATAATAATAATAATAATAATAATAATAATAATATTTTAATATATGACTTGATTTGGAAATATGATTTGATCTTTGAAATATGAATGCATTCCCATGAAAGTTTATTATTAAAAATAAATATTAAATACAATATATTCGAGAGACGTCTATTACTGAGAACTGTCTTATGTGTTTTGTACAGTGAAGGAACTAGTAGTGATGACCTTAAAACAATTAAAAACAACTTCACATTGCTTTTGTTCTATTGTTGTTAGAAATTAGTTCATCATTTGGTTGAAACTAGTTTTAAAAGGCGTGAGAGTGAAATCTTTCAAAATATGGAGGGCTAAGGAATGTCTTATCTTTGTTTACTATAGAAAGTTAAAAGAAAACTTGAAATTCTTTTGAAACTTTTTTCTTGTTTTTTTCTATGTTCTTTTTTGCATTTAATATTCTAGTATAGTTGTCCTATATATCTCCATTTTTACATTTCCCTTTCCTATACTTTTACCCCTTTCCATCTTAGCCTAGTAATATTTTATCTCAACACGTTTCTATGCCTTTTGTCTCTTAATGTATATTTAATGCCAGTTTAAAAGTTTCCTTCTCTCTATATAACTTTTCCGTTTTGATCCTCTTATGCAATTTTCTTATATTCTGTTTAAATGAGATATGAGATTCCTCCCCCCCCCAATTGTTTCCTTTTTTTTCTTTGTTTCAAAGCAACAGGAGGGAAGCTGACTTTCTTTGGGCCAGGTTACAGAGGGAGGCTTGTTAGCTTTCTTCTTGTTCTAGTTAAAATAATAGCAAGAAATAAAGAACTGATTATCCGTGAATCTACTATAGTTCCCCTATGTTGCCTCTTTGATAAAAGCTCAAGGGTCTGTCTTTTCTTTTATCTTAAGTGGTAATTACAGGTGTTGTAGGAATAAATAATAATTTTGCTTAAGATAAATGGAAAATGTGATATTAAAAAGTCATAGAATATGCTAAATGATTATTTTTGTTGAAGAGCTGTAGTACTGTATCTCATGTAGAATATCTCAGTAAAAAATACTGTTTGTTTTGATGCATAAAGTTCTTCTGCTGCAAATGAATGTTTCATTTTATCTACCAGAAGAATTCCACATATTATCAGCAGTAGCTGTGTAGACAAGAGTGTTCAGCTGTGCTTTTTATGTTTTGAGATGCCCATTAACATATTATGCTATTACTCCTGTACAAAAATATTCTACCCTAACTATGCAGATTGTTTGCAATGTGACCATTGTTTAACCTGTCCCAGATCTCAAGTACAAGATTTAAAATACCTTGAAAGAATGGAGAAGTGAACTAGTTTTACTGAATGAAATAATAAACTATACGAAACAAAATTTCAGAAGGGTGCCTTTTCCATGATTGCCTCTATCTTGTGGAATACCCTTTCACTGAAAATTTAACAAACTCTCACCCAACTAGCCTTTCGGAAGGCCATTAAGACCTGACTTTTTACTGAGGTGCTGGGATAGGATTGTATAGATATAAACTTATAAAGTAAGCTGAGCCTGCTGTGGGGCATCTCAAGGGAATGATTGCAGTGCACGTTTTTTGTTTAATGCTTCAAGTTTTTAGTCTTTTATGATTGTTTTATTTGCTGGCTTCATTCTTATTGTGAACAGCCCAAAATTTCTTAAGATGGGCAGCTATATGAATAAAATAAATATATAATAAATAAATAAGCAAGCAAGCTCAGAATGGATGGTCAATTCTTCATCTAAGATTTGTCTGATTAGCGGTCCCACAAGATAGCAAAATTCATGGAGGGGACCTGGACAGTGCCCATCTTAATTGATATAGTGGGGTTGGATAAATATTCTTATTTCCACAAATAACCAGGTCCTGTGCCATTTAGGGCTTTAAAGGTAATAACCAATAACCATCAATCACCAACTTGAATTACACCCATTAGAAAACTGGAAATCAGTGCAGCTCACACAATAAAGGTATAACATGGGTAAACCTATGGGCACTCAGTACTGTGTGTGCCATTGCATTCTGGACCAGTTGTAAGTTCCAAGCGGTCTTCAGGAGTAGCCCCATGCAAAGCACATTGTAATAATTAAGATGTTAGTAACCATGAACATAGCTTGCTGGTCCAGGAAAGGATGCACTTGGTACACAGGATAAATTTGTGCAGAGGCCCTCCTAGCTATGGCTGCCCCCTGCTCATCAAGCAGGAGCCATGAGTCCAGGAGGAACCCTGTATTGTGTATCAGTTAAGTCCACCCAGCATCAAAAATGACGTGACCAAACCCCGGGGGGGGGGGATTGAAACCCACTCTACCTTACCAGTTGAGCTGAAGTTGGTTCATCACCATTCAGACACTTACAGTCTCCAGGCACTCAGACAACACTACAACTGTATCATCTGCCTGGCCCAGTGTAGAGAGATATAAGTGGGTATTATCAGCATATCCTGTTCCATTGGAGGATCTCACAAAGCAATTTTTTATAGATATTAAAGAGGAGAGGGGAGAGCCCTGAGCCCTGAAGTATTCCACGCTTGCAATGACCTAGGGCTCAACCTCTCCTCACCCACTCCCTTCAATTGAAACCAGTCACTTAAAAAAAAAGAGAGAGAACCAATGCAAAACAGTAGCTTAGAGCTCCCACTGCCAACCCCTGGAGCCAGTCCAGAAGGACACCATGGTCAATGGTATTGAAAGTTGCTAAGAGATCCTGAAAAGGCAGGACAGTTTCAACACCCTATCCCAGGCCCTTCAAACGATCAATGCTGTTTTAGTGCTCTACCCCAGCCTGAACTCAACCAAAAGGATCCAAATAATTCACTTCATCCAGGGCCCTCTGAAGCTGCATGCCAACCACCCTCTTAATAACCTTCCCCAAAAAAGAAAAGACGGGAAACTGGATGAAAGTTAACTAACATGGCTGGATCCAATAGTTATTTTTCTACTGCTTATTCCATTAACAGCTCAGAAGATTACAGAGTCCATTGCAGTTGGGCAGCCAATAAATTTAAATAAATAATTAAAAGAGCAAAACTACATTTAAAAGAAACCTTAAAACATTGTCAAAATATATTCAAACTTGTGTTAAAAATAGTTTTTAACTTTTAAACTTTATTTACCATTATAAACACCTTGAATGGGACTCAGACAGCAGCTGGCAACTGAAGAAATTGTTTCAACATGATAGTTATGTGTGACATTTAAAAGGTACCACTTACCTCCTGTGTTGCCACATTCAGGATGAGTTGCAGTTTGTGGAACATCTTCAGTGACTGCCTCACAAAAAGCACATTATAGTAATTACAATAATTTAATTTTGACTTGCCATCACATGTTACTAAAGCATCTCTCTGAGTGGAGGAACTAAAACTGATAGAAGCCTCCTTATGCCACTTATGTTACCTATTCCCTAAAAGAGAGTAGTACACTCCCAACAAGAACAATAATCTAGTGTTAATCCTGAAGTCCAGCCCCAGACAACTCTGTTTTGTTCACATTGAGGTTGCGTGTCTATCACAAGCAGTCTATTACAAGCTGGATGTCAGCACTTCAAGCTGCATTTACTCTAGTGCATGGGGACGAAATCTATACCACTCACTACCTTAAATGGGGTTAGTCCTGTGCTACTGTGGACAGCATTATTATACGCGACCTCCGCTTCTCCTTCTTATGTCAGCACTTGACACTGGAGATATTTAGAGACTCTAGAAATACTATAGACCTACTAGAGACTAGTAGGCTTACTGTGAAATCATAAGAAACAAATATAACCAAATATCATAAAAAATGCAATAACAGCTAGCTCTAAACCTACAAATGATCCTTCCTAGAAGTTCCTTATAAACACAGGAGACAAGTTAGAACGTATAAAGAACCCAGAAGATAAATAATTTCCAAACATTCAATCAAAAATCATGCTATGTCTCTAATAACAATAATAATAGCAATAACACTTAGACTTATATACTGCCCCATAATGCGTTATAGCCAACTCTGTGTGGTTTACAATGTCAGCATATTGCCCCCCAAAATCTGGATCATTTTACTGACCTTGGAAGGATAGAAGCCTGGGTCAACCTTGAGCCAGTTGGAATCAAACTCCTGGCTATGGGCAGCGTTAACCTGCAATATTGCATTCTAACCACTGCACCACCACAGTTTCCTAATCCAAATTAGATTAGTCCTTCAGTTTATTATGACATCACAGACTTCTCTGTTTTTCTATTAGAGGGTAATCTGAATTTAATAGTAATAGTATCACAGTGTGATAACTCAGTCTAACACTCCAAATTATTATGTGGCCCAAAAGGGAAATATTGGAGTTTTTATATTTACATAGATTCTGCTTCCCTTCACAAATCTGCCTCTTTTCTTTTTATCAGATCTTGTGTGTT